GTGCGTGCTCTCGTTGTGGGGGGGGGGGGGGGGGGGCGGTTGTTTAGATAACTTCTGTTGCAATAAGAGCAAAGAAATATGAGTTCTAATCCTGTCTGTGCTGTGCCTTTTCCTTTTGACTTCCATTAAGATACTGATACCCCAGTTTTGACTGTTTCTGGTGTTAATGATGCCCAGTGGAAGCAGCTGTGGTGGTTTAAGATGCTACTTTCCCCATCTTCTGGGAGTAAGAGTTTAAGAAACAAATTGGTGGTGACTTAGCTGTCTTAATTCTCATTCCAGCATCTTGGCTTCAGTCACTTCTGTTCTAAAAATTATGGTAGCTGAGAACCTTTGCCACCTCTACAGGACTGAGAACCTCTGAATATGAGTAAACATCAGTAATATCTCAACTAAAACCACTGAGTTCATGAGTCCTCATAAAGAAGAGATAGCAACACTAGGGCCATGCATAGCTAATGAGTAAAACAAGGTCTGACAGATGAAAACAAGGTCAGAAAGCAAAAGACATGCAATAGATACATTGTCAAATAGACAGGAAGAAACTAAAATGCTCCAAAGTCTAGAGCATTTTCTTTTTTTCTTTTTCTTTTTCTCCAAAGGTGAACAACGCTGTTACTGTAACGGCTTCTGGTCGAGTGGTGAAAAAGCGTTTTAACTTACTGGATGACGACCCAGAACAAGAGGTAACTGATGTAGCGAGTAAGAGCAATTCATGGATTATTTAAGATGTTTAGCTAGCCAGAAGTCATTCTTGTTTCAGGTGCAGTGGCTGTAACCATTAGTTGTGTTAATCTTTGAGTTCTTTATCCTCTTCTGTGGCTGTCTTTGTCTTAACTTCTAATTACTTCATTTCCCCTCTCTGTCTGTTGTCTTTTCTCCTTGGTTGACATTTGTGCTTTGGATAGTCTCTTTCTTTTAAGAACTGATCTTGTGCCCCATGATACCGTCATAAGTCTATGTGACTTCAGTGGCACAGAAATGAGGTGTTAATGTTACGAACCGTTACTGTCCTCTCCATTCAAACATTTCCTTTAAACATTTCTTATAGAGCATTTTATGAAATGAAAGAAACATATTTCCTTTTTTTCTCTGCTGTAGGTTCCTCTAGTCTTTGATACAGTATCTCTAAACTGTATTTTTCTCTCCCAGTTACTTTGATTAGATTGCAGGATAAGGTATTTAACACTTTTCCTTTAAGTGACTGCTTCTTGAGAGTGAAAACACCACATGCCTTGGTGTTGAGTCTTCAAGAGGTTATGAAGAATATTTTTTAGCTCTCTATATAGAGCTGGAGCTGTAACTGACATAAGCACAACACTTAAAATTCATCAGTTTCTGGCAGTTACTTCTATTCTTTTTTCTGAGGAAATAGATTTTACTATGGTAAAAATACAGGACAGTGCAATATAACCCTTAAGGTCTGCATTTCATTTCTACCCACTTTTTTTAAAAAAAAAACATAATAAAAATTAGAGTCTGCACATTATTTTTTTTCCTGCTGTTACACTTTATTTGTGATTCCAGTAGATATTTTTCCATTAGGGAAGAAAAAGACTGGCTCAAATTTAAAGAGTGTGTTACCAGGTTCATGACAATGACATAGAGGCAATTAAGGCAGTTCACAATCTTCACCTTTTGGTCTTAATCACTGTCATATACTCTGTGTAGTGAGAGAGCACTCTGAACAGAATATACAGGTGTTCATGTGAATGGAATTATCCTAGTATACCCATCCCCTCAAAACCAGTAATGGTTTTAAGCTGTACTGTCTCTAACATGTCTGCTTCAAGAGCGGGCATGGAGTTTAAATGTTTTTTCTGCCACTTTCAAAGTACTTTTTTCTCTTTCCTGTATGATATATATATATAAAAAAATACATCTACTTGCACATCATGATTGTTCAGAACATGACTTTCTTCTCTCCTGTCTTAAGGAATTTTGCTGAAATACATTGGACAACTTGTGTTGGGAAAGATGCCTGTTAGGTATCAAGCTGGCAAAGTTTTCTTTTTCAGACCAGAAGACTTAAGAACTACAATTTTTCCAATTCTGCTTTCACCTGAAAGAAAAAGACCTATGCAATTTAGGTAGAGGGGAATGTGAATTTATGTTTGATTTGTAAACTTGAGGTTTTATTTTTCCCAAGACATTCAAAATTGTGGACTATGAAGATGAATTGGATTTGTTATCCACTGTGGCAGTTACTCAAATAGGAGCTGATGGAAGAGCTCACCTTGACTTTCATTGTAATGAACATGGGATTCTACTTAAGAGTATTCCATTACTGGAGTCCTGGGATGTGGTAAGGAGAATTCCTGTCTTTTGTTTACACTAACACTTCCCCATACCCATTTACCTACCATTTTTGTTCAGATTTGAAACAGATACATAGTGTTGTCAGGTGCTATGGATGAGATTTGTACAAAATAATAATCGTAACTCAAAAATTTTAAGTATTCCATCAGACAGTAGTTCATTTATCTGAAAACCTCCATGATTTGAAATTAAGATTTCTTTGTTGTTTGATTCATTTGGTTTTTTGGCTGGGGAAGGGGTTGTCCTTAGGTATTTCTGAAGTATTTATCAACTTGAATACTCACCGTGTGGCTAATTACACCAGCTTAACTTTACAACTTGTAAATAGCCTCACTAGCTTAACCTGAACTACTCATGCATAGAATTAAGCATGGACCTCACTGTGTGTATATTTGGAGAGATAGAATGGGCTGTTCATACAGTCCAAGTTTAGGTGGACATCCAACTTAGATGATCTGAAATAGTCAGCACCTTTGGCACCGCTTTTATCATTTACTGCATAGGCAACTTAGGATCTTAACACTTAGATTCCTAAAATATGCATGTGGGAAACCTCTCAAAGTTTTAAAATTCTGTCCTTTATCTGGAAGAGCAGTCTGTGTGTATCCACACAAAATTCCTGTCTGATCATGGAGTTCACCAATGTTAAATATTTTTTGTTCCCCAAGGAAAATGGTACAGGTATTAGCGAGTTGTGGAAATGGAGACTGCAATCAGAATTTTTTTTTCTCATTTCAGACTTACAGCCATGAACTTTACTTTGACAAAGACCTTGTATTACATATAGAACAGAAGCCTAACAGGAGATTCAGTTGTTACGTTTACCAAATGGTCTGTGATACTGCAAAAGAGTGTTTTGTAAAAAAGGAGGGAGAATTTTTGAATATATTTAAGACATAAACAATAACTACAGAGACTTCAATTTGGATCTTATTTAAGGACTTCATACATATGAATTGGTCAACTACTGTTTTTCAGGCAGGATTTAATCTTAACATTTTGTACTACTACATGAGGTTTTATTTCTTTTTTCTCTGTAACATTGTATACTTGTCTGTAGTCCATAATGGCTTTTCATGTATTTACCAGTTCATCATTAATGCTAGATACAGCATTTATTGCTTGTCTTCAGCAATTGGATTGAAATACTGGACATCAAGGAGAAAGATGTGAACTTACTGGTCATCTACCATCTCCTGCGGTCTGTCTTATATAGTTTTACCTATGCAACTTTAATACAGACTGTTAATTAAACAAAGTATATAAAACTGTATAGGATAAATTTTATGTGTAGTATTGACAGAGTTACCATTAAACCACTTAGACAAAATCCTCCTGTTGGTTTTGTGTGAGAAATAAAATCACTCTGGTTTTCTGGTTATGTTTGTTTTGGTTTAAAGAGAAGTATTAATAAATTATGTATTTTTACTGCCTTTTTAATATATCTTTATTTATTTAATTTTTTTTTTTTTAAATATATATATGTGAAAAAACCCAAGCACTTCTCTGGTTCTCCCTGTGTCAAGGGTCAGGAGTTGTTCAGTCTAAGCCAAAGCTACCTGATGCTCAGCCGGATCACTGTGTGCAGCCTGTCTGATGCATGGGATTTCCATGCGGTATATTCAGCTTTCATTTTAAATTAAAAAACCCACAGCAACAAAACACAGGCTGTAGCCTTCATGGTGATAAAGAGTGTTTCAAAATGCAAGCCAAAGATAGGCTCAGGAGAGTAGCTTTTGAAGGGATGACCAACATTCTCTACCACCACCATTATCATGAGCAGAGTAATTCTAAACCCAAGTATTTTTTTTACTTCAAGCTTTACTAATGAAGTGTGGATCATATATATTCTGTAGGCAGAAGATCCAAATCTTACGCAGATACTGATACGCTCATTTCCGTTTGAATTATTAAAGCAGCTCCTCCCAGAGCAAGACATTTAAACTTTATTCTTTATTAAATAGTGCAAGTACTGCTCATCAAGAGTTTGCTATACTTTCCGGTGACTGTTATTTGTAAGTTACTGCAGACTTCTGCAATTATATCCTGCTAAATCAACAATTGTACATCAGCGTCCATCTTTTGAAAAAATGCAGCAATTTGTAACGACCAAAAGGCAGCCCAGACTTTGATAAAGAAGATTATGGGCTTTGTGTAAGAAATTCTATCACTCTAAATACAGTGTGTTGCTGCACTACAGATAATGCCAGATGTTCCACCTGGGAAGGTCACACATAGACATTTTCATTCAGAAACAAGTGAGACGTTTCTGTTTATTTTAAAACACCTTGAAAGCTATTTAAGAATAGAGAATCCAGAATGACCAGCCCTGAATTCTTTTATGAGAATTTTCACAACTCTACTTATGAACGGGCTGGGACACACCAGAGAAGCAGAATCACTAAATGCTTTTCAAGCTGTGAACAGCAGTGTTGCCTTACTGTACCTATGCAGAGCCCCAGAAAATTCTAAAAATAAACTTCTATTTGAATGGGAGGAAAATCCTGACCACAAACCAGTAGTTTTTTACATTGTTAAAAATAACCCTGTATCTGAACCAAACACAAATACCCGCATGCTTGGTGGTAGCCCACCTGAATCAACAGCTTTTATTTCAAGTTAAATTTTGAAACAAAACCCATCCACCAGAAAAAGGTAGTACTTTACTTTGCCAGGGTATTTTATAGGTAAGCATTTTTTGGTAACTGTTGCTGGCAGGGCTGTACTATAGTGCAGTATCAAATTGATAGGAAATTTGAATAAATGCATTAGATCTGACCTGTAGACCTACAGTTTGATGTCCATTTATGATGATTCTAGAGCACTTATCTTTCTTTTTCATAATGTAAATTAGGTACTTGGAAATCTCTTGCACAATCTGAATAATTCAGTATACTAAAGAATAATAGTATTTGTAAAGTGGAGAAATTCTGAGGATACTCATGTGGTTTCCTTTACAGAAGAAAAAATATTCTCGTGCACATGCCCAGCATAATTATCTCTGCAAGCACCAAAGTGTGACATTAGTACAAGAAAAGAGAAACAAAATTGCTTTGAAAAAAATGAAGTAACTTCTTCAAATGTAGTTTATTTCCCATTTATAAGTTCAGAAATTAAGATGAATAAAATACAGAAGACGAAAATATTCTTCACTTTTCCTAGGTAGCAGCTAACTGCTTTATGATCAGGAAACCCATTTACTGATAGCTTTCTGATTTACAAAAATTGGACTAAGGAACTATTAGTGTGAAATTCTGAGTTCCCTTACTTCCTGTGTATTTCAGGGGGTGTTACCACTCATGCCATGGCTTCCAGAGTCTGTAGATAAAGCCTCAAGTAATTAGATCAAATGCAGTCTCAAGTAACTGGACCAAGTGCATACTTTAAAAGATTGAAGCTGAAAAGCTCATGCTTCCATTATTTTCACTAGCACTAATTTTAGAGAATATAGGTATACACATATATATAAAAATGTAAATATATATGTGAACTGTTAACATGAGTGAAGATTCTCCAATGTGTATTTGAAGGGATCTTAGCCACTTTTGCCAACATTCCCAATTAGGTAACTTCACCCAAACTTTCTGCATTTTCAGTGTGGAGAAAGGTTTCTTTATTCTTTTTTTCTGGATATGTCCCATTACTTTAACAGCACAGTTTCTTGCTCATTTTATTCTCATTTTGTCTTTTATTTTCCTCTTGTTATTGAGAAAAATACCATTTATATTACTTAACAGTAATTGAAGACTGCCAAAAACTCACCACCAAGCAACTTTTTTTCCTTAAGGAACTGTGACAGCTATCCCACACAATGGAACAGCTAATAAATTAATTTGCTTCCCAGTTCTGATAAAGACTGCTATTAGGAACACCTGCTAGAAAAGACACCCGTATAGGGTGGCATGTAGACTGGGTGTTTTCTTAAAGAACAGTTGTGAGGAACTGCTGTTAGCTGCTTCAAGCAAAGTCTCTGGGCACTCTGCCTGCAAAAGGGAAAATGTTGGTCTAGTAAGTAAAAAGGTCATGGACTAGTGAATTCATGTTGAGTTTCACCTAAGTTGTTTGATACAAGCTTTCTGCCGTTGCCAGAATGTACAAAACCTAAATGATATGAGTGAAAAAGAGGAAGAAGTAGTCAAAATGTGGTTTTCTAAAGCTGAACCACAAAAGAATTTATAGAACAGTAACTGAGTTCTTTCATAACTGCCAAGTGTTGCTACAGACACCAGTACAAAACCTTTAAAGAACTTTTTTTCTGGAAGGTGTGTGAATTGATCTGATATGTATGTAGCAATGCCTCACTAATAAAAATTGCACAGCATAGCTGAATCTTTTCTGAACTTTTTCTTTATCTCCATGAACTGGAGAAATTTAATTAGTCCCTGCTGAAACAAAGAATTTAAACACTTCCTGCAAAAATGTTACTTTTGAAGAATGGATGAATAGTATACTGACTGTCAAGTAGCCCTATTCATACTTGAAGAAAGTTTCTGTGTATCAACATGAATTCCAGGTGTCTCTCCTGATACGCAGTCTGAATAGGTTTATGAGCACTAAAAGGACGAAACAAGTATTCCAGTATTTAAAATCAATGTCAGAGGTATGTAAGGGAACATCTTTGTTTTGCAGCTATTTCACAATCTTAGATTTTCAGAGGGGACCACTTGAAGCTTTCTGGTTGCTAGACTTGGCATTTACGCAACTATAACTTTAGTATTTATTTCTGCTTTACTGAAGTTAAAAAATTATGACCAAAATAACCTTCAGGAGCTCCAAAAGAATTTTCTGTCAATGCATTCTCATATTTATAGATTAGATAAATTTAAAGTAGTCAAACTGCTTGCTTTGGATAATAGATTAAAATTATCTGCAAATTTTTTTTTTTTTTTTTTTTTTAAATAGAAAGAACTAGGTATCCTAGCAGAGTGAAGAGTTACAGTGATACAATTGTTAAGAACTGCTTTGGTTGGTACAGCTTAACAATTCATTTAGTAAACTGGGAGTACAAATGCCTTATTCCTGCCTGAGTGGGGAAGGAATATTGTGTTCTTAGGAATATTACATTTTTAGGGAAGAGTAAGTACACATTCTTCTCAGGAAGAGATAAAGGAAGCATGGAAGGGGAAGCTAAAATTCACTGGAATTACTCCGCAGAGTGGCTTAAGAGCTCTGGCTTGCTTGAGATGCTGCAGGAGAAGCAATGCACTCCATGTGATCCGTAGCATTGCAGGCTCACCAGCCAGACCCCAGTAATAGCTGATTGCCAGAAGCCAGATGGGAAAATTATTCTGTTAATGTGTTTACTTGGATGCTCCACATTCAGACTCATACATTGGCAACTTTGGGTATGTACGTGTGTTGCCTGCCTCTAACACACAAACTGCAGCATGGTTGTGGCACATTTCCATGCTCTGGGGCAGAGATCTAGGAAACTCCTGAATTCTTCCTATTTTAGCCCTTTATAATGCCACTGCCTCTTCTTTCTACTGCCTGGAAGCTGGCTTGATTTTATAACTGTCTTAAAAACATTTATTTTGTGGACTAAAGCAGCATACTTCCAGCATTCCTACTTCAACAAAATCACTTTTTTTTTTTCTGCTGCACCATGACGTCTCAATGATCAGCTATCTGGACAGAGAAGCAAAAATGGGATCCCAAAAGTGCTATCTTTATTTGTATTTGATAAACGTAGGAGGAATTTCCCAGTCTGTGCCTAGGGACTGAAAAGATAGGCTCTGGGAAATCTAGAAATTACGAACTGCTGTTCCACAGTAATGGTTAACAAAAGCAGGTGTTCATTGACCCAAGAGACTTGAGAGCCCTATACAGGATAGTTTCATTTTTATGCCAGTGGGGGT